ATTAAAAAAAAAAAAACTTCTGCAAAGACATACATGGTTGCAACTTCCAGAAACCGAAGTATGGATACACGTTCTTTTTCTTTGCCTTGAGGTTTTCGTGGTATGGGGGGGTTTTTTAACAACATTCTTTAAGGCAACAAGATAAGTTTACTGATAGTTTGAGACTATCTGAATTATACCCTACTACAAAAGTAATCCTTTACATGGAAGTTGCCTTTAAACATGACTGTTGCATCCTTTTATAGGAGTACTAAGTTTTGCTTCCTTCCCATTGTTACCTGCATCAACCTTTCTGAATACTGGAGAAACAAGGATTGACAGAGTTTAAGAATTCTAATGAAAAAAGTGTAATGTTTCAGAAGAACCTCTGTATATCTGCAGGTAATTTAGAAAATAAAACTTCCGCATACAAGGCTAGACTCAGAGCAGCAATTGATTTATTCGCCTAAGACCTAAGAATTAACAAGCACTATGAAAGAAAACCAGAGGTTTTCCCACCCCATGACGTATTGTTTCTGGTCTTCTCTACTTCCAAGGAGATATATTACTGGAAAAAAGAATCTAATTCCCCCACAGCAGTACTAACATTTTTCTTCTAAAGAAAACAAGCAGACTAGGCTTCTCCAGAGTTAGCTGTGCAAACTGCAGTTTCACTGACATCGACTGTAAACTCAAGCCAGCTATATCACAGGTTAAGTTCTTAGTTACTTCAAGCATCTTTTTTTTTCTTCTATGCAAACTACAAGCTTTGTGAGTCAGAAATCCGGAAGTTTGGCCAAGTTCTTCTGGTGTGTATATTAGAGGCAAAGATTGTGTCATCCAAATTCCATTAACCACTGTAAAGATGGTCATGTATTCTTTGTGCTTTAGGACCTTTATTGGCTTTACAGTACTAAAGTAATAATGATTTATAAAGCTATTAAGATAGAAACAATAGAACATACAACAGCAGATTTGCCAGCTGAGCGAGTATCACCATTTAGTCACTTTTCCAAGGGAAATGACAACTTAATTCAATGTTATTATATAGCAGCAGGCTACAAAAGCTAGCAAATTTTTGGAGGCTTCTTTTTTATTTTTAGAAAAAAATTTGCTGTGTGAAAACACAGAAATGCATGGATTTCATGAAGCATTTACAGGAGAATGTTATGTTGTTGTGAGCTTAAGTCACATAATTAAAATTTCACGTTTCTATTCAGTTTCAGTATTTAACTTCATACAGAATATAATATTCTGTTAATATAACATGAATTAAAAGGTTTGTATTTACAGTATCTTTAAGCATAAATAGACAGACATTCTATAACCTTGAGTTCAATCTTCTTAGATCCTTTGATGCCTTCTGTAGAAAGAAATCCCTTTATTTCAACACTCTGATAAAATACCTTCCAAAAGGAAATTTTTGGCTGGTAGCCGAAGCAATGTTAGAGAAGCCATATTGCTGCAACCTGGATTCCTTCTTATGGCAGGATAACCAGCAACTACCAAATTGTTTTTGCTCATGTATGTGCCAAAAAATCCTCCTTTTATTTCAAGTCCTGAGTATATTACTTTCATAAATTTCAAGACGAATACCACACCTGACATTTACCAAAAAATGGAAGAAAGATAAAAGGGACAAGGGTTACAAGACCAAAACAAAAATGAAAAAATGTAGTATTAGAGAGAGAAAAAGATCAGTGTAACTTGGTAGAGATGTACAGTGGAGAAGTCCTCAAAATAAGCTGCTTTTTACAAAGATTAGACTGCAGAAAGGACTGTCTAAAACACTGGAAGGTGCAAGACTTTGTATCAGCACAAGTAAGAGACCAGGAGCCCTTCAGAAATAAAGCAAAGGAAATAAGATAAAAAAATGTTTACTGTACATCCTCTACATGAAATGTGGATAGTGAGCTTTACAGACATCATGTGACAACTTGCTTTTGAAAGGTAAGTACAGAAAAGCACACAACAATATACCATTGTTAAATTTGAAATTGTTTACTTTTCTTCTGATCCCTTCTCTTTGTAGTCTGCTGATAGTAAGTTCTAAGAGGGAACCCTGATGTGTGCAAAGAATACCAGTTTTATGATTTATTAATGCCTTAGCAAGAGGACCATACTGCCTTTTTCTCAGAAATGCTACCGTTATAATTATTTGTTTCCGTGCAAAATTGCTTGAATTTTGTAATATACACACGTGTGCATGTGCACTTTTATACATACTTATATAAAAATGTGTGTGTGTGTGAATGTATCTGAAGATATTCCTGTAAAAAAAAATTAATCAAATCTCAGTGCAAATTTGAATTTCAAGTTGTTTCCCAAAAGGGAATTATTTCAATATACTTGAGCACTTTCTCTACAGCAATTTCAGATTCTGTTAAGTACGAATTTGATCTCCAGATAACAAAATTCAATGCCCCTGTTGAAGTGTGATGTATTTAAAGTTCTTTCTGCAGGCAAGGCAGGGTAGGTTTTCTTCCTTACTGGAAAAATTTAATGGCCAGACATAAAATACAACAAGTTTCTTGAGAAGGTTCAACTGAAATTGACTTTTTTTTTTTTAAATATTGAAATAAGTCACCTGCAATCTGTTCTTCCTGACATCAACTCAGGGAAGCAGCACTGTGTCAAAGCAGGTCTAAGCAATTTTACATCTCCCTCTTTGGCACTTCAGCATTCAGAGTAACTGTAGCATTAAATGGCAGTATACTGGCACAAGGAAGACCACTGAATTGCTGAGACAAGGAAAAGCTTAGGAAATTTCAGCCAAATTCCCTGCTTTGCCAGCAGCTATCTAAGCTAGGGGCAGTAATGGAAGGCAGCCAAGGGCAGTTAACTAATGACAGAGCTACATTATTCCCCAAGGCCAGTAAAAGCTGCGTAAGAAGTCTAGGAAGCAGGTATTGAACCCAAACGTGCTTCCATCCATACAGACAAAAAGAATGGCAGAGTATCATAACTAATAATCAGTAATATCAAACAGCTTTATAATAGCAATTTCACAGAATAAATTCATGTTAGAATAACTCTAGTACCTGCACCTTTCTGGAGAGTCTTCTCTATCTTTCCTTCGGAACTTGCTGATAGTATCATCAATTGTGCTTCCAATTTTGTCACTTAGCTCACCTAACTTGTCGCTGAATGGAAAAGCTGGTTTTTTATCCCATTCTTCATCCCATTTTGACTTGGGCTCAGGATCATATCTTTCACCTGTGTAAGGCATTAAGATAAGAAATACTAAAGATAACAGAAAAAAAAATGCCTGTGGTCTTTTTAGAATCACTCTCAAGCCCCCTTGCCCTACATACATAAACCTTACAAGTTTTCAAAGCAAACTGAAAGCTCCCACAGTGCTGAATCAACACTATTACAGCAAGGCACAGCATGTAATGCCAATCATTAAGTGCCAGGAATGCAGATTCAAAGACTTTTGTTTATGACAACGACACAATCTTAATGCACTGCACAGCACATCAGGACACTGTTGGACTCTGCTGGAGAAGCACAAGAGGCACAATCAACCCTGGCTGCATAAGCAGCTTATCAGAAATGGGATGTGCCAGTTTTGTAACAGTCACTTAATGCACGATATTCCATTCTTGGCCAAGCTGTGTACTCAGAGGTAAATCAATGGGGTTTTTTATACACTGACATTCATGAACGCATAAAAGCATAGTACCAAAATATTGAAAGACATAAGTGTGCAATGCATGATAACTTTCTGTCCTTTCTTTTCCATGCTCAGTGATTAAAAAAAGCTTTTAAGGACATGAAAGAAGAAGATGCAGTTCAGCAGCCACTGAGTACCCTGAACATCTTTACTAAACACTTATCAAGAAATAAAAAACATTTTTTTTTTCTAATCAAGTGTTCAAGACCTCCATACTGGTATCTTAGCTTACAAACAGCTGACAGTTTTACTTGAAATAAGTACACTTGCTGTACAATCTCATTAAGAAAGTTTAAAAAACTTAAGGCTGGGTTTATTTATACACACCCAGCCAACCAGAGTTTAATTTAAAAGAAAGAAACAACACTTACATTTTAACAAAGATTTAACTATCAGAAGCACAGCACACTTTACTAACTTGTATCGTGATCTTATATCAGACCTTCTGTTTAAAATATAGGTATGTAAAACAACCCAATATAGCTCAGTTTCTGGACAACACTTTTAGATAAACATTTTATATTTTGGGCCATCACACACATGAAACAAGGCTTTTTTTTTGTACTATTGAAAAATGTGGAACACTAGTTAAGTTTTTTTACTTAAGCCGAGTAAAATTGACTAGCAGAAAGGAAGAATGGTGAAAAATTTATTACTTCAAGTTACATACAAATTATATTGTAGCTCAGGTAATGTTCAAGATTTGTTCAATTAAGTCATTTTTAATAAAAAGAAACTGATGGATTCCAACACTACAAGGTGCAAAATTTGAGTTAGATCTGTACCATATACCAGAGGATACATTTTCTTACTGAAGCGGTAAGTCTCCAATGATATTTGTTTAGATCCATCAAGGATAGACAAGCTTTTTCAAAGTAGAGAACCTGTTACAAATCAGCAAGATACTCAGCAAGATCTTTATCACTGGAAAAAGAGAAATTGCTAAAAAATGTACTACTGTTAAATTTTGCAGGAGAATAAAATGGCCTTATTTCAATTTATGTCAGGCTCTCAAGCATTTTAATGTAGATTCCATTAGAAGGTTTCCTTGTGCCATAGGAATTTTAGAATAAATAAAAAACCTCCAAGAGCTTGGTATTTTCATGACAAAAAGAACTAAGAAAAACTCTGAAAATACAAGCATTTTATATTTAAATATAACTAGAACCTTTTAGATTAGAAGTCTGATCTGGGAAAAAGTTTGCTTTTTGCTGCTACAAAGATTTTTTTTTTTTTTTTTAGTTTACTCAACAAATTAAGGGATAATTAAAAACCCTTTACCACAAAAATGAAATACAAGACAAAGGAGACAGTCCTTTAAATTAAAAAACTTGAATGATAACTAAAGAGCATATGGAGAAAGACTTCTACCCAGCATATAGGGATAGATCACGACTCTGTGCAGAGCAAGTCAAAAGATAAGCTCAGTGAAAGAACAGAGGGACATGTACTTAAAGTACAAATGCAGTGACTCATAAGTACTTCCTAAAAAGAGAATCACCAGAATTCCAAGCAGGTAGCAAAAGCCTAAAAGAATATAATAAAACAAGTCATATCCTGCCATGGAGATAGAGATTTTCAACTACTCTGCATATGAGGAAAAGGGAGAACAGAGGAACATGGAGAAGTAACCTGTCAAAAACAGAAGAGAGCAAATCTAAGTTTAAGGCTCACAGTGAGCAGTAAAAAACATACATAGCACCAGAGAGGGACAGGTGAAGTTTAAGTCCTGCACAGTTACTACTCAGATCTTATACCAAACCCTTCTCTCAAAGAAGTCACTGACTCTAGCAAACCAGAGCCTTGTGCCATTGTGACTTGGGGACTCATCCCTTAATAAAAGCAGCCAAGGATTTACTCAGGCCAAAGAAAACACAGATAAACATCTCAAGACTGACAGCTGGATCACGGACAACACGCTGGGCTACATCAGACATAAAAGCCAGTTCAAGCCCAGATCCCTGCTACACATTATGGCAGGGACTGGGAAGCAAGGAGGAAGCAGCACACTTGGACTTGATAAGCAAAACATAGCACTGGTTGCATGCCTTAATCTAACCAAGGCTGTCAGAGAAAACCGTCTCCTCCCTAAACAAAGACAAGCTGATGCCGTTACATCCTCTAAGGCCGAGATCTTACAAACACACTATGTTGAAGATGCAAATAGTCTGACAGAACTCATTGCACACATGAAGAACATCAGTTGCCTTAGCAAAATAGGTGAATTTATTTCCAGAAGCAAGGGTGTATCAGGTATACCTGTCAACAGCATTTGGATTTTTTTTTTGCTTTGTGTTTGTTTTTGTTTGTTTTGTGTGTGTATGTTGTTAAATAAAGGACCTTAGTAATAAAGGTCATATTGCAAGTACCAGACCCAAGCTGGATATAGGACTGGCACCTTGTGCAACGATGGCTGAGATTCGTGATGGCTGGATGCTTTAATTTTCGGAATTCTGATTTCTGAAAATCTGATGGCAGGTTTTCTGATTTTTTTTTTTATGAGGGAGCAGATGACCAAGTGACCCTTCACACACATCTTTTTTAAATATAAAAAATACATATCTTAAATATATATATTATTTTTTTAAACAAAGTTTAGAACTTCCTTTCTGGTCTTAACCTCTTCACTGGCAGCTGCAATTCCCTAGGATTTAGGGATGAGCACTGGTGCACCAGATTTCCAGCATGCATATGGGTCTGCTGTGCAACCAACGTCCAGCTGCAAGCTTAGTACATCCACACAAAGTAAATCTGGTATTACCTCTGGGACTTTGAAAAAGCACATGGGACCTATAGTACTAATCAAACAAGATTTTAAAAATACACAAACTGAGACAGTAATAACTGTATTGGTAATCTCCTGACATATAAGCTCTATCACTTACAAGGTACTTACTGCATATATTTAAAGTCAGTTCTGACAGACATCAGAATCCATACAGATAATCCACAGATATCTTTCAAGTGTCCAAACAATATTACTTGGGAAACCAAAAAGTTTAATGGCATATATCTACATTGTTTCACCTGAACAGCATTACTGCCCTAAAAGCCCTAACCCAAATTGACCAATGGTTCTAAAGGAGGTTCGCAGGAGTAGGTGAAGCAATTCTTGTGCTGTGGTGGGTAGAAAGTATCATCACTTTTTTTTTTTTAATTAAAGACTGACTAAGAAACCCTGACTTACAAGGGCATTTTTTTATCTACTTCTGCTACAGCAGCATTCATTTCACAATGAGACTCTGCCCACAGATAAAAATGACAGGTAAGTTTTGGCTAAGCCAATGCATTAACGTCATTTGTATAAGTTTCTATTTAGCTTATTATCTAAAAAAGATTAACTTAAAGATTTTTGAAGTAACGTAAATTTGTATGTTGGGGAAAACGTGCAAGATTTCATTTTAAAATAACACCACTGGCAGTTAAAGAAATATAAAGAAAAAGCATCTAAAGGAGCATCTTAGAAATTCCTTGTTATGTGTTATCGAAGCCAAGTTAAAAGTCAAGACTGTCAATCCTTGACCAAGAAAGCCTAGTACTCACTGTATCTGAACCCTCCAACACTGTCCGAAGAAACCCCAATGTATTTGTCTTTGTTCTTCTTTGCTTTCTTCCTCTCTTCCCGAAGTCGATCATCATCTTGAGCAAATTCAACCATTTCTTTTACCTTCTGGCCATTTGTATAAGTTTCTATTTAGCTTATTATCTAAAAAAGATTAACTTAAAGATTTTTGAAGTAACGTAAATTTGTATGTTGGGGAAAACGTGCAAGATTTCATTTTAAATTGACACCACTGGCAGTTAAAGAAATATAAAGAAAAAGCATCTAAAGGAGCATCTTAGAAATTCCTTGTTATGTGTTATCGAAGCCAAGTTAAAAGTCAAGACTGTCAATCCTTGACCAAGAAAGCCTAGTACTCACTGTATCTGAACCCTCCAACACTGTCCGAAGAAACCCCAATGTATTTGTCTTTGTTCTTCTTTGCTTTCTTCCTCTCTTCCCGAAGTCGATCATCATCTTGAGCAAATTCAACCATTTCTTTTACCTTCTGGCGTATGTTTATACCTTGGTCTTTGCCATTTTCATCTGTGTAAGTAATGCAGGATAGACACGTTGGATGGAAGAAGGGGGAAAAAGGAAAGAAAAAATAAATTGGAGGCAGCAATACTGAACATCAAACTGATAAGAAAATTTGAATTATGAACATGGCAGTCAGAGGAAGATCTTATGACTACTAAGGTCCACTGCATTTGTTTAAAAGGGACCAAATATTTTGTTTCAACACAAATCTTCATCCTCAGATAAATGATAGTTTTCACTGAATGGTGTATTTAGAAACATCTAACTGCTGCTGAAACATTGAAAAGATTAACAAAGACTGAGACAGAAATTATATTCTCCACTTGAACAATTTTAACCCTTCAAAATATAACCCCTTTTCCTCAGTCTTTTTAGTAGTTTTTGCAAGTTTAACTGCAAGAACTCAGTCTTATTGCAAAACTGAATTTTTCAAAAATTGCTTTCAGTTGGGATATACTACAAGCTAAACGTGCTCCTTTCCCAGCCTTTTTCACATTCAAAACACACACTGGCCTTGCTGCCTTTGCACTGTAAATATTATTTGGTGGGAGGAAAAAACCCAGCTTCAAACAGATGTGTGTGTTTTGGAGCTCTAACCTTTTCTTCCCATATGATTAAAGCTATTCCTTTACGGACACCACAGGGGACCAGTCTCTAGTGCATATTTTAATATAAACCCGAACACTCATGTTGTGTTGGTTCTGTTGTTATTAGCCAGTCTTTTCTGCAAGTTCTTGTCTTCACTAATTAATACTCTAGGGTCCCACGTCTTGGATTCTGCACTCTTCACACAACTGGCAACAGTCACATTCTAATTAGACTGGGGAAGCATCTAAGCTGGTTGAGGTGACTGACAACTCCAACTACTGTTTTAATTTGCTTATAAGATTTTTCTATTGCTCACCTACAAAGTGGTAATTTTCCAGGGATCGCAAATCATAAATGTGTTCTCTGGCACTTGTAACAACACGCTCTGATCCATTCCTTATGAGGTAAGCTAGGAGCAGCAAAGACTATAAAAATACAAAGCACCTTATGATTGCATGAACAAAAGCTCTATCTTTTTTTTTTTTTTTAAAAGCAATAGAAAACCATCCCCCCCTCCCCAAATTAGTAAGTAATAAGACTTTCCCCTTTTAAATAAATGCTTATTATATGGGTTCACATAGAAAAAACACGTTTTCCCCACATGCACCTTTTGCTCGTTAGAATATCAAAACTGTATTTGTCAAACTCTAATTTGTTATTACTAAGTCACAAGTAGTTACCTTCATCACCTACTGCTTATTTTAAAAGACAGCAGTAGCAATTTAAGAGAAAAAGTTAACCCTACTAAATGAAGCATTTTCTTTTGCCTCTTTTGTTCACAATTTTCCAATGGTTTTCACTGAAAAGTAACTCCTACAGAAATATATGAAGCCTTCTGCAGGATGCAACGGATATACAAAACTGCATTTCAGGACAATTTTAAGCAAGCGACAAAACAAATGAAGTTTAAATAGTACTTTAATTGCAGTTTTTTATGTTAAGGATTTCTATCTAAAAAAAAAATTAATGCACTTTCTCCAAAGTAGTGCCTTTATCAGCTAAAACTATCATGATATTTCAACCTATCCAAAACTGATAAGCAATTCCAAGCAGTCTTTATAACATTAAGTAGTTATGTGCGATAGCATTAAATATTAATTTATAATGTACTTCAGGGAAAACAATTACTATGAATACAAAACATCAAGCACCTGTGAAAAGCACAAACCATGCCTTAGAATTAATTCTGTCTTGTTACAATCCTGGGATCAAGAAAAACAAAATATAAGCTAGTCTAATACATCAATTCTAAAAAATGAGGTTATATTTGCATAATTCAGTGAACACTGAACACCACTTTAAGTGCAGCATGATATAATCTTAAGCAAAAAGTTTCTGTACCATGCTAATTAGCCAAAGACAAGAAAAATGCAAATGATTCAGTTCTTTTTCCAACATGCAAGTAGGACATAAAAGCCTCATATGGTAAGATCTGCAAGAAAATTTGGTCCATTCAAAGCTAAACTACAATTTTTAGAGAACTATGAATTGGCAGAAAATTAAGATTCGTTTCCATTTTATTTCAGGTATTCTTGAATTCCTTCAAAAACATTTTCCTGATAGCGCAATAACTTATCATCCACTTCTCATGGAGCACCGTAACAACTCCTTTGGGTAGATTCAAAACGTGAATGCTACACCAATATTTGAATATCAGCAAAATGTAATTGCTCTATTATGTTCATTAAGTAGCATCTTGGACACACTTCTAAAACCAGAAATTTTGTTTTTTTCCCATACAGCATTTGAAAGACATCTTTGACTTCAGTAAGAAAATTATAAAGCATATAGTTAGGAAAGAAATTATAGGTTGCTAGGGGAGTAAGTGATATAGCAGTATCTAAACGAGACAGCACATCAAAACATTATACTAGCAACAAGCATTATGTCCTTCGTAGACCAAAGTCTTGAATGCTTCCAGTTCATATACATACACACCTTATAAACTCTCCTCCAGTTCTTTTTGTTGTCTTTCAGCATTCGAGTCCAAAGCATGTTCATAAGTTCTGGAAACTGTTCATACATAAACGTAGCCCTAAAGAATTAAAAAAAAGGAGTAAAGAAATTTTATTCTCTGTGGTTTGCCACAATAGCTTGTCAAGACTCAGGGCTGACAGTAGATGGCAGGCTTGATCTAAGCCCATTCACATTTGATGACATTACAAGGGGAAAAGCTATCCCTATTTCTTAGTCATATAGAAGTAATTTACCTACCAGCACTACAAAAGAAAAAAGTAATTCTAAAAATCTGAGCCAGTAAAAGAACCTTTACTAATTTTTAAAGAAAATAATGTTTAACATGAATACCCTAATAACCACTGCAACTAGTCAAACATGCCACTTCCAAACTCATTTTAACAGAAAAAAGTTCAAGGAAGAATTTGACATGTTTTGCTCTATTTGGAAAAGTCACAAGAAAGCAGTTTGAAAATAAACACTCCAAAAAAGTCAGATATATTGAAAGAATTATGAGGCTACATAAATAAAAATCAAGAATTTCAAAAATACTTTGACTTCATTTTTTGTTTGACAGTTTTCAATACATAAGATTATGCATTAAAAAAATTAGACTTGATTTACAGCAACTTTTCAGCATTATCAGTCAACATACCGCAGAGTTGATTTAGCAGCAAATTTCACATTCCTGTATAACATGCACCTTTCTTTTCTTCATCACTGAGCCAAATTATCACTTACTTGGCAATCTCTCCCATGAGCTGTCCTGAAGGTCCCCATGGATCATCATTGGTTGCTTCTCGAACCTTAGACTCTATTTCTGAATAATTCATAACCACATTGGTGCTGCAAAGGAAAAAAAATTAACACACATGAAGATTAGCATCAAAACTGAGAAACACATGAAAACTTAATAATGACACTAGTGCGTATCTCACTTAATGAGATACCTCTACAGGGTGGGAAAGAAAACATCTTTAGTGCAGAAGTTACCCTGAGGACACTATACAACACATTTAAGTCATCTTTAAGAAGGTTTTACTGTTCTATTAGTCTTCAAGAATACAGCTGAGAAAATAGGGATTACATTACAGCTGGATTCAGTCCAGTAAAAACGGCTTTTGGTCAAACTAAAATCCAAACCGAACCACTAGAGTCAAAGCTGATAGCTTCCCCAACTAGATATGGTTTGCTTACAGGTTTGTATGGTTTATAGTTATTTGCAAGAAGCTTTGTAACTCAACCAGAAGCAGATTTTTTTTTTAATGATGAATGCTACATAACTCAAAAATATCTGTATCAAACAAGTTTTAGTTTTTAAAAAAAAAAGTCACACAGAAGTCTGAAGTAAGGGAGAGAAGATTCACTAGGAAGTCTGTTTCCTACCTTGAATTTATTTAAGGGAAAACAGCGAAAGAAGAAAAGCTGCAGAACACTCTGTATTAGGATTAAAGCAATGCAAATACTATAAGGAGCTCAGGCTCTCTCTATGAGAGTTCACAGAAAAATGTAACTTGGAAAAAGGAAGCAATTTTTCTGTATCAGTTATATTAAAGTAGTCAATATGTGATTTTTTTTTTTTAAATGAATGTCTCAAACTAGTAATGTTCAACTATAAGCCCCAGCAACCTCCTCTGTGCCCCTAAAAGCATCTAGATATATTTGATAACACAATGATTTTCCTTATATTTTAAGGTGAGTGAGCAGGCCCAAATCATTCATACAGAGAATGTTTGAAAAACAGCTCTCTAGTTATGGAGTGATATAGCACACAATAGTAATGAAACATCAGTAAAAGGAAACCTAGTGGCCTCTGCTTTCCCTACATACTTTGCAGTGTATTTGAAATAACTTAGAAATTACATGTTTACACCTATTGTACCAAAAGTTTGAAAATTTACTTAACTGTTAAAAGTACATCATACAACTGGTTTCAGAAGCCAGACTAACCCCTGTAAAATGACTGTATTCAACATATAAACCATACCACAAAGTCAAATTTATTAAACTGTAGGAGAGATCTAATGATATTATAATACAATGCAGAGAAGGTGTTTGCTGCTTGAAAACCTCCTCTGAACCTGAAAGGTCTAGAAGAAAAATCAAGATGCTTAATAGTCATCCCTCTGTCCATGCAGGAGTTGGCACAAAGCAGCATTCAAGCAATACCCGTTCAATTTTATTTGGCATAAGGATAGCAAAGATCTTGGAACTGGAGTTATAAACAGCAGAAACAAGAATGAGATCTCCTTAAGTCTGAAAGGGGACACAGAAGGTAACTGTTAAAACAGAGTAAAATTCCTGGACTTAGCCTTGGATTCTCAGCATGAGAATTCCTGCTGTCAGATTCTGATGTATGATTTTATTCAACTTTGTGTCTAAAGAGAGTGTAAGCTTCATGACTGAGTAAATAATCAGCAAGCTAACAGAACCTATCTATATGAAAAAAAGCGTGTAGGAACATAGCAGTAGTTATGAACAACAGTTAATTAAGGTTTTACAAATTCATTTATGCTAAATGCACCTCAAGCTTCTGTTTCTGACACTTTCTTTACCATATACACAAACGTAAACTAATACCATCTTTATTTCCCATATGCATGGAACATTAAAAAAACCAAAACACAACCCCAAAGCTACAGGCTTCAGCGCTTTGCAGCTTTCAGCACACTAGTTCTCTTGTCTGAAGCAAGGAAAGGCAGGGAGTTGAATGGAAAGGTTCTGTTTGTTTTTATAACCCCTCCTTAAGCACTTGTTTGAGAGACTTGATGGGGAGTTGGGGGCGGAAGCATAAAATGAAGCATTTCCTTAATTTCTTAGAGCAAACAATTTAAGATTGGAAAATGCATGAAACGATGCAAACTTACTGTAAAAAAAAAAATGCCAGCATTAACTATGGAAGAGCTCAAAGTGCCTTGCTAAAGCAGCACTGGGGTTGAAAGGGGGAAATGGAAGGAAAACAAGGGAAATTAAGTAATGCCAAAAGAAAGAAGGTGCAGTTAAACCCCTCTAAGTACAGAAACATGCTCTACTTTTAAAACCCTCCTGCAGTAAAGTTATTGTTCTCAGCAACTAGGAGAAAGCTCTTTTATAAATGCCAAGATGAGATCTAATGGCACAAAGCGTTCCAAAACAAAGTATCTTTAAGCCACATTTAATTCAGCAACAAATGTAAACTTCAAGAAAAAAAAAAAGTTGTATAGTTTGGCATCATTCCAGGTCACTTAAAAATAACCATTTCTAAAAAGGTGGAAATACAGTTTTATTCTTCCTTTCCCATGTTTTCTATGGCCCTCATTCCATGCCCTACCCATGATTCCTGTGACCTTTGCAACAAAAAAAATAATTTACGTCCAGATGTGAAGGGAAAAAGTGACTAGCTTGATTGCCAAGACTTCCTGTGATTGATATAAATTTAATATCCGAGGACACTTTCAGACACCAGGGGGGGCTCTCTGATTAGTTTATACTGGGCAGCTTCCAGGGAATTCTGCTGGATTGCATGGACACAGTCTGCTTTGCAAACAAATGGACATACAACAGTCAAGACTGACAGAAAGTATCCCCGCAGTCAGTGTTTAAAACACCCTATTATCTGCGAGACTGCATTTGGATTTACCCCAAATCGTTAACTGAAACCCTGCACAACTGGAATCTTGCAAAAGCACATTTACAGAAACTTTTGACATGGACAAAGACATTAAATACATGAAGCACATTTTGAAAGTTACATCCAAAATAAAGGCATACCAAACAAATAAATGGGTTGACATTAACATTACAAAATGTTGCATTCTTTTCTGTTTGTGTCTTACATTTCTTTTCAGTCTTAAATCATAGACTAGTGTCAACAGATGATTTTTACTCTTTATTGTACCCCTTAAAAATTATTTCAGTATTGTTTCTTTTTTTAAAAAAACTGTTCAGAAAAGCCAAGAGAGGGCACTGTCACATCTCTATGAAACAATAAGCACAGTGATGGTGAGCAAAATGTTAGCTTTTAATTTCTTGCAAGAGAACACTCAACTTTAAATGTTTGCATCTACAATTTATAGCAACATTGAATGGGTAGCTCAAGTCTGAGACTAAATTCCTCCACGTGAATAAATGGACACTGCTAGCGAAAAGCCAGTGGGTAATAGTTATAAATATCTGATCACCTCTGACTGCATCAGACGATAAGACACACTTCCTCTTAAAAAAAAAATAGTTAAAAGTTTTACATGCATTTTATAAACTATATTTTAACATATTTTGTAACTGAATAGATGTACCATAAAGTACCCCAAAAATACTACTTTGTCCACAATTTTGCCTGCATTTTTCAAAGAAAAATCTTTCAAAGGATTCAACCAATTGTAAATAGCTTCAAATTTTGTTCTAAGTTACATTTTGAGATTTGTAAATTGAGATAAAGCTGTCATCTGGATCCAGGTAGCATATCCTATAGTGTGCTAAAAACCCCAGAAAATAAGCAAGAAAGGGAGAGGATATGGATGTGGGGGGCGAGAGGAAGTATTGCACATACCTCAAATTATACATTTGAGGTAAAAGTAATATTTTGTTGGTGTTGGGGAGAGCAACCAGACAAGCAAGAGGGGACAAGAAGTTCTGTACCTACCCATATAAAACTAAGGGGATCAGAGAAGCTACCGAGGCCTAGCCAAGAAGTTTACCAAGTATCTGTCACTTCAACCTTTACAGTTGCAACAATCTGAAAAGCACTTTAGCTTTCAGGCGTAAGAGGATAAAAATCCTACAGGTCTGAGGTGGTCCTCTGAGCACTATTCTTTGAAACACAGAAATAAAAGATAGCTTGTGGATGGCCTGCTTTAAAATAAAGTCCTTACAGACTGAAGGAACACTTCACAGGACGGAATACTTTAAGGCATAATCTAAAATGGGTCCCACCTCCCCCCCATATCAGTGGATACTGAATGTAACCCACAATGTGGACATAAATACACATGAACACTAGCGAGTGATAAATATATCTGCAGAAAACTTCAATTTGTGTTTGATTTCAGCATACTCCAGTATAAGGCTCTGATAGATGTATTTTGGCTACCCTGCTCAAGCTTCTGACCTTACATAGTAATACATGAATCGAGCTACTGATGCTCAGAAGGACAATATTAGTGAGGATGAGGTGTACTCTGCTCTCAGTAACATATCAGTGCTTCTTCAGTGTTTTTTCTGCAAAATAGCCACTAAATAAATACTGAAAAAGAAAGCTTTTCTCTTCCAGACCAAGAATTTTTTTTTTTTTAAAAAATCGCTTTTACGCCAGGAAAGTATTTCCACCCAACATTCTACTAAAAAATTAAATAATCATAACATGAACTGAAATGTTTGTTTCAGAGTGAAGGTTTTTCATTGTTCAGGACCACAAGGTGTTCTCTACAGATTCATATGCTGTAACAGAAGTCAGCTCAATTATCTGTTAGGAGATTATCATCACTTATAAAATATTACACAACTATAACTACACTGCTTCTAGTAATAGCTTCCAATTGGTAACTACAACCAGCTTTGTTGTGCCTGAGCTAATTATCCCACATCAATCACTGCTGGTTCTACACTGGAAAAAAACCCACCTAAATCTCTCTATATCATATCCCTTGAACCAGGAACACTTTGGAAACATGGGCGTGGAAACACGAGGCTCTGAACATAGTCAGCAACAGAAATGGAAGGAGTCTATTCTCTCAGCTAATCTCTACTCTAAAATTAACCACCAAACTCTAAGGTTAACCCTCAAATAACATTTCATGACAATGATTTACATACACTACTAGCAAACCTGCTAAAGAAAAAGGTGCAACAATTTTTGTCTTTGT